CTGAATAAGGGTAATCCTGTCTAGGTTGAAAAATTAATTTTTAATAAGTGCTTCTATCACTATTGCCCAAGAATTTTCACCAGTAACAGTAGAAGAGTATTTCAAGATGATCTGACTTGGTTCAACAAAATGCTGGATTTCCCACAGGAAACAGTTACAAGCCTATAGTAAAAGCTGAGATCAATTTTCTATTCTTGTTGGTGCAGCTGATGATAGCAGGGAAGTGTCAAGCTTCAAGTTGCTTGTCAGTAGCAGCACTCTTTAAGTGCTTTTGCACGATGATTTGGGCAGCTTGAATGTTCAAGGATTGTGTCTTCTAGAAGCTCCTCCTTGTGAAGGTTGGTTTCAAATTTGTCTTTGGAGATTAAATGTGGTTTTGAAACAAATTGTAAAATTCATGTGAAAGTATGTATTGAAAGCCTGCATCTTATTTTGAAACCTGTTTTGATAGTAGCTTTGGATAATCGAGCTTCATCTCTTAAAACCAAGCAGGTTTATCTGTGAAATTATTTGCTGTTTGGTACCAGAAATGGCTTCAGCTTGCTCTGTTTTGGTTTTAGCTGTTTTATGTAGCATAGGGTTATTTAGCAAGCAAGTTCTATTTTCAGATGCTGCTTTGGTGTTTTGTTCATGCTTTTCCTTTTCTTTCAGAAGGAAAAGATAAGAGTGTTTCGGAAGAACACAGTTTATGTTCTAGAATTCACTTGCAGTTGTAAAAGTAACTTTGAACATAAATGATGTGTAGAACAAAATCTTGGTCTCTTGCAGTGTAGTCAACTTAGCTGTAGATTCATAGTGTTTCTGTAGGAAAAACTGTATGGCAATTTGGAGAGAGAATACATATATGCAGCCACCAAAACTTTAAGGTGTTTTACTCACATGTGTTTTAACTTAGTTCAGGTTACTGAAGAAGGAATTTCTTTCTCTGTAGTCAACTCATCTGAGGTTTCTGTTTAGAAGATTGCACGTACCCACTCCTAGCTATTCTTGTATCTCTCTCACTGTGTGTTTGGTTGGATCAGGCTCCTGACCCAGCTGTCAGTCTGGCCGTATGTCTGTCCTTGTTGGCGTGTGGGAAGGGTCAAGAATGTGTGGTGAGCTGAACACCCCTTCTGTTATAAGCTGATTGTGAGACTGCAGTCTCAGAATTGGTATGTCTTTATCACTTACTCAAAAACCAGTATTTTCTTCTAAGCTGTCAGACTTAGCAGACTTTTTGGGAAGAAACCACAAGAATATTTACAAATGTTATTTCAAAAATTAATTCAGTTTAAACCGAAGACCTCTAGGTGTTTTGTGTTATGAAGTGTTGATATCAATGCCTCACTGTAGCTTCTTGGTTATAACTCAGGACTGAAGCAGCTTCTTGGGACTTCTGTTAGGTGTGTGTATGTATATGATAGGAAATGTACCCAGGCTGTGAATGTGAAAACTCTGGGTTTTTTTGAGACATTCTGAACTTCTGCATTTCATTCCTGGTAAGTGTTTTACCTTTTTAATCTTTTTTTCTGCCTATTTAGGAAATTAGAAGGCTTTTTCTTTTTCCCTTTTTTGTCTTTTCTGGCCATTGATGAGAAGTTACTGATGAATGAGTGTGGAGATGATGCTGGAGCATGAATATACAAATGAATGTACAAATGTAAAACAGGTTACTAAATTTCTTTTGTAGTTTAGCTATTCCCTTGCTTCCATGGGAAATGTATAAGGTAGCAATCTTAAATTTTAGATTATCGTAATTGCTTAATGCTGTTAACAAAATACATGTGCGTTTTGAGAGATCTCAGAAAACAGACTTGCAGTAGTCCCCTCCATCTTTTCTTTGCTGGTACTGAAGTGTGCATTAAAAGTTTACTTCAGCTGGTTGAAGAGGTTACCTTCTCCCCTTCCACCTTGCCATGTACGCTTGTGCAGCTGTAACTGGCATAAAAGATACCACTGAAATTATCTACTTAAATATAGTGTCTCCCTCCTGCTCCTGGCCCCCTTTTTTAAGGGTTATTTTTAATCAGATCATGCCAGTGATCCAGTTTTTGTAGCATAGCGCTGTAAATAACTGTAACGGCACAACTGAGTAGTCAGGCATTTTTAAAACCATATTGTTATTGAAGCTAATGTCATGTAACTGATTTCCCCCTACACACACTTTGGTTTGACATTTTTGAGCCAATTCAGAGAAGGCAATGAGAGCTTGCGTGTGAGGGGAAGGTTACCATAATAAAGTAAAAGTAACTCAATTTTTGATTCTTATTAAAATTAAATCTAGTGCATGCTTAAGCATTGAACACCACCACCTTCCCCAGTACACCCCCCGACTTCCCCAGTAGCCTGTATGTAGTGCTGTACTCCTAGGGAATGCCAAGATGCATATCTGTGATGACTGAGACTGAAGTTGTGTAAGGGGGGGGTAAATAAAGAAAACCTTTACTTCTTGCAGACGCTGCAGTAGGTTGCTAAGCAGGAATTTTACTGCAGTTATTTTACAGCATTAATGCTGCACTTAGGTCGCTGTTAGTTGACAGTACAGATTAAGGAAGCAAAATGCTTTCTTTTTAATCTTGTTTAATGCAGCATTTGGATTTTACAGTGTCTTTGGGATGATAGAAAAATGCTTGCTTGGCATTTGAAATCTTTGTGATAACACTTAACCAAGCACACGTTTGTTTGTCCTCTGCATTGCACTGAAAAGGCTTTGCTTTTGCCTTTACTTGTCTGATACACGTTTTAAAGGAAGAAAAAGTGAGGTAACTTTTCTTCTATTCCTAACTATTACATACAGACATACTACCTTTTGGCTTTTAGTTGCTATGTTTCTAAATAAAAATTAAGAAAGCCTTTACGTTAGACCTAAGAATATTTGACCATTGAAGAAAAACTTAGGGATTGTTTGAGTCTATTATTGTTATGTGCTTAATCTGAAGATACGAACTGTGCTGAGTAAGGCTGCATGTAAAAAGTATGCTTAAACAGTAGTAGTTATTTGGGGTATTTTTGTCTCTTCCCTCCATTATGCCCTTAGTCACCACAATGGATTATGGGAGTGTTTTGCAGCATAGTTTTTGCAATACATGTTTTCATCAATGAAGTTGATACATCAAGTAGTGTCCTTCTAGGATTTCTTCTATCCTGTTTGGTTTACCGTTGTTATGGTTTATGGGTTTGTGTGGGAAACTGCATCGCAGAAATCCTTGGGTTTTTTAATGCATTTTTGTAGGAACCATTTAAAATGGCTTTTATAAGCAGTCTGTTTACTTTGCAGCCTCACAAACAATTGCTTCAGTGTGACCAAGGGAATTATAATCTGCAGCATGGGAGTAAGTGGCTTGAGCAAGTAGGAACTTTCTAGAATTTCTCTGTCTGCAAAGCCAGTTTGTTGTACCTTAAGCAGCAGAGGCTTCAGCTAACCTGGCTGGCTTTGCACTGGGACATCAGTGTTTGAGCTCTTTACCCTCCCTTTTTGTCTCAGCTGTGATCTCTTAAATCATGAAAACTACTTCTATGATTGTCCAACCATGTCATCATCTATTCTGAAATTAGTATGTATGAGAATAAAATGATTTAGTTCCTGTTGTGGTAGATTTCCAATATGCCAGATGTGCTTCAGGGGCATTTTTCTGATATATTGCCCACTGTGGCTGCTGCATATGACAGCTGTTACCCAGCTAGTGTCTGCCCCCAGCGTGAAGTTCCCAGTAATACATTTTTGGAGCTCAGGAAGTTCTTCTTTGACTTTGCCTAGCCATTACTGGCTGTGCACTGATAAATCAAGTACTGAAGTATTAAATCCAACCTGTAGGATTTCCGAAGAAATAAACTGTTTGCACTGGGTGACATCAAAAGGACGAGGTCTCACAGGGGTGGTTATGTGTTACAGTAAGTGATGCTGGGCACCAGGTATTTTGTAAGAGGAGCTTTCTTGTTAAACTGCTTCACAAACTTTGATCTTTCCCAAAGGTCTGAGGGTGAGCATAGAAGTTGAATTAGCTAGAAAAATATCAATAAAATATTTTAACTGAAATGTCTTTAAACAAATAGTAAAAACCACTACCGCCAAAAACCCGTCACTCTGTGACAGATCTAAACTCTGAAACAATGGTTGCATCAGGGGTTTTAATTCTTTTACATTCTAAATGAAGTGTTTCTGTTTGCTTTCCTTTTCCTGTTATGCTCGATTGTGCAGATAATTAAGGATTCATTTTAATAGCTTTCTTTTACTAAGATCAAGGCAAATTTCATAAAGAAAATTGTGATCATACATGATAATGCAGAAACGGTGCAAACTTAGAGCTTAATAGGTATGTTATTCTTACAGCCTTTGCTTACTTTCTCCTTAGTATGTGGATTTGTTGTCACTTGGGCATAAGTTTTATCTGCTTTTGGAGAATGTCAGCGTTTTCCATGTTTTTTTATTGAAGAAGGTTAGAGAACTGATCCTGCTGGAAATCAACATGATGATTTCTTTTTCAGTTTCTCCCCATGAAAAAGAAATCTTCACACTCTTGAACAAAAATATTTTAGAGTTATTAATATGAATTGTGTTGGTGGGCGTTCTTGTAAAAAGGATTAGAAACTGTTTTAAGTTCTTTAAAACTCCTTAACTGGTGCACCTACAAAGAATTACAGTTCTGAATCTTAATAGCACTGACTGTTTTTTGCAGTCATATTTTTGGTACTTTAGTGATAGAATGGTAATAAGCTCTGACTCAAAACTGAGTTCAGGTCTCTGTTTGGACTGAAGGAAATGTGTATTGAGAGTGCTCTTCTTATTAGGAGGAGTGTGTTTCCTCAGAAATTAAAACTAGTCGTGGGAAGTATATACATTTTTTTAACACAGAAGGCAAGCGTTCTCGGGTACTCTTTCTATATGACACTTGCATGCTTGTGTAATGTGTTACAGTCTGTGTTTACCATAATACTACAGTACGTAATTTTGTTAGCACAAGTAGGAAAAAAGCAGTAACCTGATTTTGGCTCTTCATAATAGCATTTTTCTCTCTTTTCAGAGCAAACTTGATGATTACCAAGAACGAATGAACAAGGGAGAACGTCTGAATCAAGATCAACTGGTAAAAAAAGACAAATAATAACCAGATCTTTGTTAAATTGTTTTGTGATCTTGGTGGGGAAGGAAGGGATGAATTTCACTTCCTCTTTCCCCTTGTTAAAAACTAGATTCTTCTGAGCTCTGACTTGGTTTATTGCCTGGAACATCTCAGTTTTTCTGTTAACCAGAAGCTGCAAGAATAGGTAAAGGAATGTGTTGTAATGCATTATGCGTGTTGAGGTTAGGCTGTAAATAAGCTGTGGTGAAAATCTGCATACATTATAACCTGGGACTGTTGAAAGAGCTAAATGATACCTTTGAGGTTCTCTGGACATTGTTTTCTTTGCAGAAAATGTGTCCAGCAAAACTTAGGGAGTTTAGTCACTTGGTGGTAGCTTGTAATTACTGTGCAGTCTGGAGACATAGCTTAAAATAAATTCTGAAGGGATCTTAAAATAAGGTACACGCATGTGTGTATCACAGCTAATCAGTACAGCAGATTGGACGCTCTAGATAAGCCGGACTTAATGGATGTGTGCTACTTTTCTCCTTGTTGGGGCTGTTTCTTAAAGTAGGTTATTGTAGAGCTTGACTAAAGAGCAGTTTCCCAGTTGTAAGAAATACAAAGCAACTATCAAATTAAATTCAGTTGTGTGTTGCAAACATGCATGTTGATTCTTAGAGATTACCAGATGCTCAGTAATCAACAACATTTTGCTGATGATTCTTAGTGTTGAAAAGAGCAAAGGGAAAAAAAAAATGTCCTGAAACTATTGCAGCTGTTCACAATTACAAGAATTAGTTGCTTCCCTTGATCCATGTGATCTTTTCTTCTGTCTAGGTTTTGCTTTGGTTCTTCTGTGCTAACTGAAAATTGGAATATCACTGATCTGTATATTTTTATTTTTTAATGGCCTGTTGTGAAAATAAACCATGAGAAGTTTTCTGTTTAAGGAGCAAGGAAGATACTGAAATCTCATATTCAGCAAGGAGGCTTGTGATTGAGTTTTATGATGATTACAGCTTGACTACTGTCACACTTTGTAAAGATAAAGTCTTCTTTGGTTGGAGAAGTGCTCCAAGTATTTGTTGTTTTTTCCTTATGTCTTCTGCTTCTACAAATCAGCTAAGAATGATGAATTTTGTAAATCACCTAATGTATATGTGTAGGTTTCTTAGCTGTATTAAAAATCAAAATCCTAGGAAAAAAAAAAGGGCAAAATACAGTTCATGTTCTTTGCTTTTCAGAAAAAAAAAGTAGTACCTTACTTTTTCTTTGGTGCATTTGTTCTTATCAAGAACATAGGCGTTATTTTGTCACAGCAGGAGTGTAGATGTCTCAGCCATTTTTGATTTGGGTTTCCCTTCCCTCCTGATTTGACTGTATGTAATTTCTCAGTAGTACAAAGTAGGTTCAGGAGTTTGGATTGCTTTGGTGGAAATCAGAATATTGGAGAAAATAGATTTCTGGAGAAGGGAACATTTTGCTCTGTACAGTGTTTTTCGTTTTGTTCCTGACTCGAGAACAATGCATTAATTCTCGAACCTTTATCTCTTGGGCAGTTTAGAGTTATTTTTTTCCCCCATTCCCCCAGCCTGCCAGTTATGTTTTTGTCAGAAACTTGCTAAAGCCAGACATTAAAATAGCATGTCATGCATGTGACAATATATATGCATAGGCATTAGTATATTTATCTAGGAAACTAAAGGCCCAAAAGACATACACAAGTCTCTTCAATATTTTGGCAAGTGAAAATAAAAATCTGACTTAATATTGTTGCAGGCCTATTCAGGAATGCTGTGTCTCACTTGGAAACTGAAAATGTGGGAATGTGTTTGTTGGAAGTACGTATTTTGTTCTATTTGTGATGGTTTACTTTTTTTTTTTTTTAAGGATGCGGTGTCAAAATACCAGGAAGTGACAAATAATCTGGAATTTGCTAAAGAACTGCAGAGGAGTTTTATGGCTCTGAGCCAGGACGTAAGTAAAGCTCGAGCGGTGCAGTGTGGGTTATCAGCTGCAGTATCAAATACTTGGGCTTTAAAACTCACTAACACTGGGTGCCGTAAACGCCTCTACTTAGAGACAAAATGTTTATGCTTTCTTGTATGTTTGGCTGTTTTCTTTTGCTCTGCAAAGCAGTTTGTGTCAGGTTTTCTGAGGACTATTCCTAAAAGAATGTGTAAATGTATGGGAACAAAAAAATGTAATTTTCTGACAAAATGTAACTGTTGAAAACAGTGTGATTGTGAAAGCGGCCTCTAATGCAACATCATAGACGGCCACTTACTGCCAGTGGTGGCATTGAGAAACAAGAGAAAACTGAGATTTCACAGGCCTGTCTCTCTTTGGCAAGTGGCTGAAGGTTTTCATTATTTGTATTATTTATATTCCTATTTATATCACCATAGGATATCAATTCTCAGCAACTGACAGCATTGCAGTTCCTTTTTCAAGATTATTGCTGTCTTGCCAATTGCAAATACAGTCTAAAACAACAGTATGGGACAAGATTAATGTTACTTCTATAAAGGATAAGTTAACTAAATGCTAGTAAAACAGGTCATCTTTTGGGCTGGTATTCTGTCCAGGATTTAAAATAATAGTGTAATCAGGAACAAGTTCTAAAACTAGTAGTTCCAGTGAGCTGCAAACAAAGATGCACTTTAGACCTTTGCAGTGTTACTGCAAGGAGGAATTCATTCTGGAGCAAGCTGAAAGTCTAACCCATGTTACAGGACTGGAGGATTCTAAATGTACTGATACAGTTAATTAGTGGGGGAAAGAGCAGGAACGTAGGTAGAACTCACTGTATACTTAATGTTAGTGCAGCAGAGTAGTCTAACAAGAGTATTTAGTTTATGAACAGACTATGTAATAATTTGAAAGGGCATCAGCATCCTCACATTAGAAACTGCTTTTTACATTTGATTTGGTTGTATCTATAGGCCGCTAAGTCAAGCTGTTTCTTTGTTTTTCTTGCGTCAGACTTCCATGTGTGTTTATGGAAGGTTAGCAAAGAACAGCTTGCTTTCTCTGACAAGCCTGTCCCAAAATATTTCCCTGGACAGCTGAGTGCTAAAAGCAGCGAGTGAATCCAGGAGCAATAAATCAGTGCTTTGCTTGCAGACTTTTTTCAATTTTCCCTGATTTGAGTTAGTTCTCATACAGTTGATTTTAAGATAAGTCTTTGATTTTAAAAAAGAAATTCAGAGGCTTCAGAGGGAGGAAGTTGTTGTCACGAGTTAAATTCTTTGAAAAGGAAGATTAAAGGTTTGTATAGTTATACAGTGAGCAAGCTGAATTTTGGATGCTAGATATTTGGAATAAGAATACGAGAAGCATCCTACTGGTTCAGAGTAGCGATGCGTTTAGAACAGTGTTGTGATAGCAGGTGTAGAAGGTGCTATGTAGAGTACAAGGCTGATTAATTGTCATCTATTCCCTTCTGTGATCCTCAAACTGAGACTATTAGAGTAGATCCAGTCCTGTTCCCTTTAGTGTCTGTCTGTGGACTTCATGTCCAAGGATTTGCTAAAATCCTGTTTGAACTACTTGCTGATACCATGTCCCCAACCTTGCATGGCAGAACGTTCCATAAGTTCCCTCCCAAGGTGAATAAGAAACAAGAGAACTGTTTATCCATTTAAGCTGATATCCTAGTAGTTTCAAGGAATGCCTCCTACTATCATGGGATATGGTGAATAACCGCTGTGTTCATCTTATCTCCTGGCCTTTTTGGTTTTTCTGAAAAATCTGGATCTCCCTTACTCCTCCAAATCAAAGAACCCAAGACTTGGGCTCTGTTCTTAAGGCACCTGTCCCCTTAATCATTTGAGTTGGCCTTCTCAATTGTTCGAATTCCTCCATGGGTTATGGAAGCTGGAAGTTGTAAATAGCCACAATGTTTGATTAAAAGGTACTTAATTTTGCACGTTAGCCACTTTTCATCTAGAACAAAATCACTTGGTGTTTACAGAATGTTTCAGAAAGAGAGCAGATAATAGAAAGCTGTTTGTTTGAATTAACACATTCATGTTTGAAGCTTTAGACATAGTAACTCGTCAGTTACTTGACAGAAGTGCTTGTAAACCATGAAGTACAGGCTTCCAAGTAAGAATATGATCAAGAATCGATGTGATCCAAGGTTTATAGGATTGAATTTAAAGTTTGTCTTACTTTGCAGAATTTTGACTGCTTAAAAGATACCCTTCAAATTTCACAGGTTATTCTGCTGTAATTTTAGATTGGTAAGTGGCAGTTCAACATCAACATCCATCTTCTTATCAATTAAAGAAATCTCAAATGTGTTTTTCTCTGAGCTCACTACAGAATTGAAGTTTAAGCAGTTTAAAATTTCCTTTTAAACAGATCCAGAAAACAATAAAGAAGACGGCCCGCAGGGAGCAGCTGATGCGAGAAGAAGCTGAGCAGAAGCGTTTAAAGACTGTACTAGAGTTGCAGTTTATTTTGGACAAGTTGGGTGATGATGAAGTGCGCAATGACTTGAAACAAGGATCAAATGGAGTACCAGTACTGACAGAGGAGGAACTGACAATGCTGGATGAGTTCTACAAGCTAGTTTACCCTGAACGAGACATGAACATGAGGTAGGCTTACAGTAAAGTACTTTTCTTTGTAATTGTCATTTAATTAATGATATGTTTGTACTGTGGTAATGTAAAGGTAAGAATTTGGCTCTTATTAATTTTTTTTTTTTAAAGGTTGAGTGAGCAGTATGAGCACGCATCTGTTCACCTGTGGGACTTACTGGAAGGGAAGGAAAAAACAGTTTGTGGAACAACCTGTAAGTATAGTCTCTGTATGAAGAGAGAATTGAATTTGTGCTTGAAATTAAAATACAGTGTCTTATGTAAGAGAACTTTGGCAATTAATTATCTGAGTTTGTATAGTGGCTGTGTTTTTCAGACCTTAGCTGGACTGTAGCAGAATAACTTACTGAAGTGTGTGAGCTTGCTGTGTAGTGGTTTTCCTCTTGCTGATGTTCTTGTTTTTACTGATGCAGCATTATTCAGTATTTAAGCTTAGCCCACTCCTGCTATAAGCATTATTCTGCTGGTGGTGCTTGGTAGCCCTTTGTTTTCTGGAAATGTTTAAGTTAACAAGGAGCTTTGTCCATAATGTGACCTAATACATGAACTGGTGTGCCCTTATTTAGTGTGATGTTCTTCTACCTGTTGTTGCCTGCAAACAACGTTCTGGTTTTGACCTATTTTGATTGATTAACTCTGTAAATTAGGATGTGATCATGCAGGGGGACTGCTTTCTTGCAGAAATGAAAATTTTCACAACTACATACTTTCTAACATTAGACCTTAAGAAAATGGCTGTGCTAGGCAGTGTAGGCATGTTTTTTGTATCATGGGGAATTTTAGAAGTCTCTTAATTTGAAATAAATAGGAAGGTTTTAGGGAATAGTAACCTTTTTTGTAGATAAAAGAGCTAACTACTTCCTCCTTTTTAAAATTTTCTCAATTATCCTTCTTATATTGGTGTAATACTGAGCTGTGGAAAGAGGTTTTTTGTGTTCTGTTCATAGAGTGAAATGGTAGAATTGCAGTTATCTAACCTGCTTTACTGAGGAATGATACACAGGAGATTTGTAAGATACTGTGGCCTTAATGGTAACAAGATTTTCCTTCCTGTGGCAGAATAGGAAATTTCAAATAGTTTATCGTGTTGAAATGAAATTTTGTGAGGAGGTACCAGGTTAGTATTTTTTAATTAATATTTGTTCTGCAAGAACTCAAGTCTGAATTGGTTGTGAAGTTAGGTCTTTGACAGCCCAAATACAAGTACTGCATACTTTTTTGAAGATGTGGAGGAATTGAGAAGGTATGGAGGTAGTTTTCAGGAGAGCACTGATGTATGTTCTTTGAAGACAGTCATTCTCTCACTGGATGAAGTTGGACTGTGTTTTTGATCTGGATCTCGGGATGAGCTTTTAGTGGTGTCATTGGCAGCCATGGCTGGTTTGCTTTGCCTTACAATAGGGAGGAATGTTAATGTATTTCTGTTCTCGTCTGTGTATGTATTGATTCATACAGTGATCTTCACTTTACAGACATGCATTCTGCATCTTGAGTCTGTGGTGGTTTTTTGTTGGCCTAGACAGTCAGCAATTCTGCCTTGCCAGTGTGGCTGATTTGTTTTGGGTTTAGACACCACAGTACTCCTCTTGAGTGCAAGCCTGTGCTTCTTGTGCTTACAAAGGCTGTTCTGAGCCACATCACCTCAGGGGAAGAACCTTCACAAAGGTGGTACCTGTGGGAATTTGTACCAAGAGTGGTTTTGTAAGAAATTGACTTAAAAGTTTTTAATTAGGAAATTACAAATAAAATAACTTTAGAGTTATATTTCAGTGAGTTTCTGAAAATTTCCAAACTGAAAACTAGGCAACCAGGCATTTTTCTGAAATAGCAGGAATAGAAGTATGGTAAGTTAATAGACTTTCTCACTTTGAAGTGTTTCACAAATCTTCTAGAGAGTATTATATACTCCTAAGATTCTCCCTGCCCTTCAGATTTTCTACATGGAAGTTGATTATTTACTGATTGATTTAGTATGACCTAGTAAGACAGAAATAAGTCTGTAACAGTAGTGTCTGTGGACTAGCCTGGGGCAGCAGCATCTTCCCCGCAAAAGGGTAATGAATTTTATGTGGGATCCTTTGGGAAGGAAGGAAAAGATGATTAGGACTGAGTTACTGTTAATCTTTAATTTCTTCCATTTTCCTAGATAAAGCACTAAAGGAGGTGGTTGAACGAATTCTTCAAACTAGTTACTTTGACAGCACCCACAACCATCAGAATGGGTTATGTGAGGAAGAAGAGGCACCACCTGCACCTGCAGTAGAAGACAGTGTAGCAGAAGCTGGTAAGAGTATGAGATTCCTGTGACTAGCACATTTGTGTTGTACTGTCTTGTCTCTTTGGATTCATTAGAATAAGTTGGAAATAAAATTTTAAGTGCACAATGCACCTGTCTCTGAAGTCTTCAGGTGTACTAATGTTTGGAATAGACATGTTTCTTGATAATGAGGTGTAAATCTAGCCAGGATTTACATAGGGGCAGTCAACCATTTATTCATCCTTGCTCGGAGCCATGAGGAAGGAAGAGCAGAGCTGTGTTCCAGTAGAGTTCTCTAAGGTTGATGTTTCTGTAGAGGGACTGTAATCTTTTCTAATGATCACATAGTAAATGTCATCTGTCATGTACAACGCAAGGCTTACTTTTTAAACTGTGGTGCGTCAGCTGAATGAAGGAATGAAATCACTTAGTAGTGCTTGGTTTTGAACACATCTTTCAGCATTTGTCCAGTATGTCACTTGCTGAAGTAAGAACCCAACCTGATGAATTAATGCATTTATGCTGCAGGTTCATGCAAATGAAAATTATTGCCCAACATCTCTTTCCTAATTTGTTTTCCTGAAAAACTTCTCATTATGATTTATAAACCAAATATTCTTTATCTGTAGTATTAAAATGATAAAAAGTGTGAAGTTCTGGTGGCCTGAGGTTTTTCCATTTTTCAGTTCTTCTGCCATTTTAATGTTTGTTATAAGGGAAGTTTTTGAAGCAAAGAGTGTGCTTATGTATGCACGAAACTCGACAGTATGTTATCAGACTTGAGACACAGGTTTTCCAACACTAAGGTTGGAGAAGACGGGTAA